AAAACTGGGGGAGAAGCCACTCCCCCCTTCCCCAGGGCTAAAAGGAGAAATACATTCATGGAGAGGCAGTGGTGGGGTCCTGTCCTAATACTGCTCTCTGAGCAATGAGGTCGATGGGAGGAGTTAGATGTGAAACCAAAACAAGTACAAACAAAAACAGATGGAGACAAACCAGGCAGGTGACTTAGAATAATAAGTCAGGTGGAAATTGAATGGCGTCGCTGACCTGGAAGAGACGCCCACTTCTATCCATGACCCCCACCTCACTCAACATTAAAAAACTGGTCAAGGGGCAGGAGGGCAGGAGAGGGCACTTACTCCTCTCCCATTTGGTCAATGAAGGGGGTTGGAGCAGAGCTGGGTGGTCTATATTCCACACAGCTGGAAGCAGAGGAAGGGGGTTCCCTTCACCCCCACCTTGCAACCCAAAGTCCCAAGCAGCCACCCCCCTTAGCCTTGTAGGTCCCTCTGCTTGTAGGTCCTTCATGAGAGGAACGACTCGGTCTCCTGCGTATCTGGTGCTGGGGAGCGAGGCAGAGGCTTGTGGCCCAAAGAATACATTCATGTGGCAAGGCAGGGAGCAGGGGGCTTACGGCAGTGGCACACCCAGGCCCTCCCCGCAAATGGCAGTGGTGGGGGAAGCCCTCACCAGGGCCAGAGTCAAAAGTTCTGTTGCCCACAGCCAGATGAGGTTGGCACTGGCCTGGCCTTTCTCATCTACCCGTCAGCCAGCAGAGGATGGTAGCCTGGGGAGCGGAGGCAGCTCATCAAATTTGTGCAACTTTCCCCGAAAGCAGCAAAGCCAAGGGCTCCTTTGGCCCCCACCCTGGACACCTCTGCCACAGTTCCAGCTACAAGGGAGCCGTTCACAGCGGGTCCGGCAGGCGGGGCTCCGAGGGGGCCTCGCTGTGCAAACTGCTGGTCCCCCAGCTTCCAGTTACCCACCTTAAGGGACAGGGAGGGTAAGTGCAGCCTGGGGGGGAGGGGCAGGCAGGACAGATCCGTGGGGCCTGTGTCCCCGGCTGCCCCAAAATAACAGTGGTGGTGTTTTTTTTTCCTCATATTTTTCTTTTTTTTTCCTTATAAAACAAAAACAAACCAAAACCTCTGTGGACCTTCCATGGTCATTTCCACTATCCCCACACCGGGAGGGAGCGGTGCGTAGAGTCTAGTTTTTATTATCTCTCCTAATGCGGTCTTCAATGCTTTTAAAAAAAAAAAAAGGAAAAAAACCCTTTCCCCCAATCTGTAAAGTGCCTTGTGGTGGGTGAGTTAAGGTGCATTGTGTGGTTTGTAGCAAGTGCTGGGGACCCCGCCCCTGCCTCCTCCTCTTGCTCCTTGTGGGGAGCCTGCAGACTGGGGACCCAAGGGTCCAAGCTGCTGCCGCTGCCACTGGCCTACTGGCCCGGGGGTGGGGGGGCTGACATGGGCCAGGTCGCTCAGTAGTCATCCACGCTCTCGATCTCACCAGAAGATCCGTGCAGGGAGTACCCTGAAGCCAGGGAGGAAGGGGGTTGGAGCTCTGCTCCCCAGGCTTCTCCAGCCCTTCCCTAGTTCCACACTTACCCAAGATGCTAGGGTCAGAGTGCAGCATCAGGGCCCGCCTCTTGGCCTTGCTGCCCTCCCCAGGGCCGAGTTTGGTGCTGTGGTTGGTCTGAAAGGCGGTCTGCAGGGAGGCACTGCTCAGCCAAGCCTCCTGCAAGGGCAAGAGACAGTCAGAGGGACCATGGTGGGGCCACCGCCCCCGACACCCCAAGGCTCTGAGAATCCTCACCTGTTGCTGCTGCCGCTGCTGACTGGCCTTCTGCTTGGCCCTCCGTTCCAGGAATTGTTTGGCAAATTCTTTGGCTTCCAGCGTGTCCCCCAGGCAGGAACGGATATAGTCATGGACATCATAGGGGGATTCCACCTCCTTGAGGATGGCTACAGCCATGGGCACTAAGGAGCAAGAAGGGGCCGTCAGGGCCCACCTGGCCCAAGTCTGTGAGCCCTGGCTGCCAGCCCCCAGGCTGCCCCCGCCAGTACCATCCAGGCTGCCGCTGGTGCTGAGACTATGCAGCATCTGCTCACACCACTGGGTGAAGCCGTCCCGGGGCCTGGGGATGCCCTGCAGCAGTTTCAGCAGCTTCTCCTCCTCCTCTGTCTTGGTGCGTACTGGGCGCCCAGACAGGTGGCTATAGGAATCACTGCGGGGGGGTGCGCACAGTGGCTCAGGTGTTCCCCTCACCCCACCCCCACAGCCCACAGGTGGTTGTACGAATCACTGCGGGGGGGGGGGACGACACACTGGTTCAGGTGTTCCCCTCACCCCACCCCCACAGGTGGCTGCACGAATCACTTGGGGGGGGCCCACACTGGCCCCAGCACCCACCTGAGGGATGGACTGTTCCGGCTGTTCTTGAGGCTGAGACTGCGGGCCAGGCTGCCGCCACTCTTCAGGGTATCCTCCCAGAGCCCCAGGCCACTGCTGCCCCCACTCTTGTCGGGCCCGCCCCAGAGGGGCCCAGTGTCTGCTACCCACTGGGACAGGGGGGCAGTACCCAGGCCCCCGAGCTGCTGCAAATGGCAGAGAGTCAGGTTGGCTTGAATAAGAGGATCCGAGATGGCTGGGCAAAGGGTGGCTGAGAAAAGGATGAGAGAAAGGCCCGAGGCCCAGCTCCCCACCCACCCCTCCTAGACCAAGTTCCCTGGGCCAAGCCTGCTTACCACCCGGTGGTTGGGGCCCTGGGCCCGTGGCGGCTCCCGTGGCTGCTCCCGCTTGTGCAGCTGCCTCTCGCCTTCTAGCTGCAGCTCGAGCAGCGTTTTCATGGAGAGGCCCTGCTTGGCCAGGCCAGCCCAGAGTGGGGGCGGGGAGCTGGGGGTGGGGGGTGCAGGGGCAGGGGCCGCAGCCTGCTGCTGTTGTAGCAGCTTCAGCAGCAGCTCCTGCTGTCGCACCTGAGGCAGAGAGGGGGGTGAGAGGCAGGTGAGGGCAGGGCCACGGCTGCCTGGGCTGTGCGGGGGATGGGGGCCCGCCTCACCTGCTTGCGCCGGAACAGCTCCTCTTCCTCCTGTCTTCGTTTCTGCTCCTCCTGCTGTTGCTGTTGCTGCTGCTGGCGTCGCTTCTCCTCGCGGCGCTTGCGCTCCTCCTCCTCACGCTTCACCCTGAGCTCTACCTCTCGGCGCTCCTGGAAATGACACTGTCCAGCAGATGAGATGGGAGGCTGGGGTGGGGGGCGCCCAGGCCTGACCCCCAGGAGGCCTACTCACTTTATGCTGCAGCTGGAGTTGTTCTAGAATTGGACCCTGAGTCGAAGAGTTAATTGGTATGTCCCAAAGACTGGCCTCACCACCTGCAGGAGGTAAAGGCAGTTTCAGGAGGCCCCATGTCCCCTGGACTCACACAGTGACTAGAGGCCATCAGAGCAGCACCGGGTAAGAACAGACAGAGAGCCTCTCCTGTCTGCCACCCACCTGACTGTGATGAGGCTGAGGTATGTACGTCCCAGAGGGGGCTGGAATCTGGCACCGACAAGGAACGGTTCATCGTCGGGAGCACGTTCTGGTCCCCACCTCTGAGAAGCAAACCACCGTCAGGATGGGAAGGCCTCCCCACCCCCCTCTGCACTCAGCCAGAGAGGGCCACGGACAGACCTGGGGGGTTTGAGAGCCTGAAGCTGCTGCAGAAATGCCGTCAGCTGCTGCTGCTGCGGTGGTGCTAGGTCTCCCAGAGCGGCCTTTTCCCGGAGCGAGCACGGTGGGAGCTGGCGGCTGCAGGGACATGGCAGGGAGGCAGGAGTGGGCCAGGCCCAGCCAGCCAGCCAGCCAGGGCCCAGGCCTCCCCTCAACCCCTCCAGGCTCCCCATACCTGCCAACCAGCTGGAAAAACTGCTGATGCTGCAGCTGCTGGTACAAGGCCGCTGCGGCCAGTTCCTGCTGCTTCTTCAGCCGCTCCTGATCCATGTTGCCCTGGGAGAGGGGCAAGGGGATCCCAGTGCCAACGGTGGGCACAGGAGACAGAGCAAGCCCTCTAGTGGTTCTGCAGCTTTGCCAGCCCTGCACCTTACCCCCAGCCTCCTCTCCCAAGCTTACCAGCAGTGGGGGTGGGGAGGGTCCCGGGGCAAAGGGCACACGACCCCACATCTTGATCACTTCACCCAGGGGCTGGAAGCCCTCGTCACAGCCCCGCTTCACAAGCAGTGACATTGAGAAATAGCCAGCCTGGAACCACTCCGCCATCTCCTGTGTTGTGAAGGGGCCTGGACGGAGGCAAGGAGGGGGCAAAGGACCAACGCTGGGACCAGGGAGCCTAAGCCCGGGGGGAATGGTTTCCCTAGCACCTGCTGCCCTGCCTCCTCCCTGCACTCCACAAGTACCTTGGATCTCCCCTTGCGGGTCCTTGTAGAACCACTTGCGGGCAGCGCCGTGGCTGAGCGGGAGAGCAGTGGCAGCTGCAGAGTGGCGCAGCCCCTGGGCCTGGATAGCGGCTGTAAACTGCTCCTCCTCCAGGGAGCTGTCCTGCAGGGAGGCAACCAGCTTCTCGGCCTCCTACACTCAGGGAGAGAGAGACTAGGCTCAGGCCCGTCAGGAGAGGGCTGGGACCAGGGCCGGGGCAGAGATGTGGCAAGGCAGAAATAGGACAGGCATGGAATCTGGGGTGGGGACAAAGGAGGTACCTTAGAGCCTTCTTAGAACCCCCTCCCACCTGCTGCAGATGTTTCAAGCCTTCATCATCTTCCAGATCTCCGGGTGGGCCCAGGGGTGAGCCCACCCCATGACTTAGCTGGATTCCCCTAGCATCATCTCCTAGAGAAAGTGAAGAAAGCAAAGCAAAGTGTCACAGGGACAAGACAGTCTGCTGAGCACCCTCATTCCAGAACAACAGCTCTGGCCATCACTAACCCCATGCAAATGCTCGAGCGTCTCTCTCCCTCCCCACAAGGACAGGGGGCCCCTCTCCACCCACCCAGTCTCCACAATGGCCATTACCTAGCCATGTAGCTACTACTGGGTGCTTCTTTCTCCCCGTGAGGACAGGGGGCCCCCTCTCTAACCGCCCAGTCCCCAGATGCATCCTGCCCTGTCTACCTGCTGCAGAAGGCAATTCTTTCTCCACACCTTCATCACCTTCTCCGTTAGTCCCCCAAAGGGGACTCAAGGTGGGCAGTGGGGAAGGGGACCTAGGTGACTTCTCCTGAAGAGGCAGGGGGGTCAGCTCCTTCCCACCTGAAAGAACAGGTACCAAGATTCAAAACCAAGAGCTGGAAGGCTCTCCAAGTGATTCAGGACAGTCCCTCTGTGGGTCCACCGGACACCCACCAAACTGGGCTCAATCCTACCAACATCAGGGAGTCCACACAGATTCCAGTGGTGCTTCAGTGACTCATGTGTACAATTCAGGACAGGGAACGTGTGTAGGGCTGGTGGTACAATGCTCTATGCCCTGTGAGTTCTTCAAAGGGTCCACAAGTCATCTGACCATGCGCGACGTTTGGCTGACTTCTCCCCCTCAACTATCAGCACCCGCTCCCTCCTCTTTAAGCAATTCCATCCTAGATGTCTGTGGTGCACCTGCATTCAGCCTGCTGAGGGAGCTCCCCGTTCCCTGGCCCAGCTCAAGCCTCACTCTACCCTGGAGCTCACCTGCCTCCGGCCCCTCCTCATCTAGCCCTTCTGAAGGCTCGTCGTCCTCTTCCTCCAGACCCTGGAAGTCTAGCTCCTGTTCCTCAGGAATTGGCTCCTTGGGGCCCTTCTGCGGGGTCGGCAGGTATGATGGGAGGGAAGGGGGCAGATAGTAAATGGCTGAGAGGACTCAGTAACACTCCCCCCTACCCCCCGCCCACCTCAGAAGAGATCCCCTGGCTCCTCAGATACCTTGAGAGGCAGGAAGGCCCCAGAGGCGTCAAAGGTACCCATTTCTTCCTCCTCATCATCCAGGCACCATTCGGGGAGCCCATCCTTGTCGTCATCAAAGCCTCCATCGGGCCCCCGGCACCTCCGGAGGTGAGAGCTGCCTGTCCCACCCCGTCCCTCCTCTTCACCACACCCGCCTCGATCCCCCCGCAAATCAAATTCAAACTTGCGCCGCCGTTCCCCATGTTCCCGCCAGCCAGCCGAGCGGGGGCCACCATCTGGGCAGGGAAAGTCAGAGGAGGAGAAGGGGTGTCCTGTCAAGCCAAGGGCTCTGCTCTGCTCCCCACCAGGACACCCCTGGGAACAACAGCCACCTCCACAACCACTTCCTTAGCCCCGCCCCCCCATTCCAGAGTGCTTCCTGCTCCCTCCTCTTGGTCACAGGAGCCCACCCTCACAGGGCAGTTCTTGTCCCCTCCCCTAATGCATAGCTTGCCCCAATCTCACCAGGGCTGGTTGAGCGCCAGCGATCGCCATCTCGTCGGGGGCCCACCCCAAGTCTCCAGCTGCCCTCCTCCTCTTCCTCTTGCTCCTCCCGCAGAGAACGCCAGTTCTCACTGTCAGAACGTGCATGCTCCTTCCGAGGGCAAGCCCCACCCTCTTCAAATGCTGATCGTGCTGGGGGGGTAGGGGGCACCATTAGCAGGATCCTGGGACTCTTACTATCAACCTTGCTGGTCAGTGCGGATCCCAGTTCTAGGCCCTGCTGACCCCCCTCCTTCTCCCTGAATCACATCAGCCCCAACCCAGCTGCCCTCATCACCCACCCTACCTCCATCCCTCCTTGCCGACTTCTCAAACCGCCTCTCGCCTCTGCAGGAAGAAAAAGTATCCAAGCAGTCCAGCTCCCTCTCCACAAGCTCTGGTTTTCCTGTACCGTCCACCACCCCCCCCCTCCGCCCCAACGATGCCCGAGAAGAATGAAGATGGGAGGGCACATCGAAGCGAGGAGAGTCAGGCTCACAGGAGGAACCCCCAGGGACCCAGACATCACAGGGAAGGGAAGGGGCAGAAGAGCCAGGGTGTTACCAGGTGGCTCTCCGGTTCCAGGTTCCCTCCCCAGGCCCCAGCACTGCTTGCTTCCTCCAGCCTCCCTCCCTCCTTCCGCCCACACCTGTCATCCCAACTCTGGCTGCGCTGGATCTCCCGGGGGTTCCGCCCAAAGGCCCCCTCGCCCTCTTCAATGCTTCTTTGGTAAAAGCAGCTATCACCACGACCACGGCCTGGGAGAAGTGTAGCACACAGAAAACCCTGAGACGAGGACCCACCACAGAACTGCTCCCCACCTCTGCCCACCCCCAGAACACAGATCAGCCCCCTCTACCTCGACTTCGAGTGTTACCCCTGCCGCGAGAGGTGCCTCCCGGGGGCGGGGCAGTCCCTTTCCCCATCAGCCTGAGCACAGCCACACTGTTCACGGACAGGGAGAAGTTTCTCTGAGGAGGGAGCCAAGGGCGGGAGGTGAGGACCCAGGCACTTCCCAACCCTCACGCAGAACTACAACCTCTAGCCCCCCTGGCCTCCCCAAATACACCCTGCTGGAACCCCGGGCCAGCCCCACCTGCTCCTCCTCAGTCAGAGGCTCCAATGCCAAGGGCTGAAGTGGTTCCTCCTGTAAGACGGCAGCAAACTCCTTGTCCTGCAGCTCATCAGGGGCCTGCCGTGGGGTCAGCAGCATTAAGACACCTGCGCTGGGACCTCCCCTCCCCTCCCCTCCCCTCCCCTGGGGCGGAGGTAAAAAACGGGCACCCGCCCACTGCACACCAACCCTGTTCTCCTTCACGTAGAGAGCCAGCATCTCCTCTCGTCCATAGCGGTAGTCAGCAAGCTTGTACTTAGGGATGGCAGGAGACGGGGGCGGGGAGGCCACACTGCCCCCGCTGGAGAGGGCCCTCAGCCTAGGGAAGGGAAGGGGCAAGCTGGCAGTCAGAGCTGCCCAGGTCTCCATTCCGCCTCTCCATACCACCCATGCCATCTGGCTCACCACTCGGGCCCAAAGTTGAGGGTCTCTGCTGCCATTGTGGAGGTGGGTGCACTTCCCTGAGGTTGGAAGGCAGGCGTGGACAAGGAGGGCCCGGCGTTCACTCTCCCACCGCTGTGGAGGCACAGGGGACACCGGCCTCAGAGAAGAGCAGGCCACGAAGAAGTAGCACCTCAGCGGACTTCAGGCTGGAGGGTCAGCTGCCTGGCTCCTAAAGAACTCACCTGAGCGGCAAGTGGCAACTCACACCATGTGATAACCAGAGATGAGTCAACCGGGGGTGGCCTGGGGAAGGGGATAACACAGGGAAGTCGGAGACCCTTTCATACAGGCTCCAGTCTCTCCCACCCCTCACCTTACTCACCTGGCAGCCTTGTCCCGGATGCCGAGAGTCTTAGGGTTCACAAGCTACTGGATACTGTTCTGACCTCAGCAGTGATTTGGGAGGGCCCTTCACATCTGGGATGGATCCTTAATGAGAAGCAATGGGAAAAGGTAGGCTAAAGTAAAGGGTCAGCTGGGCCTCCCTGCCTCTTGTCCACCCACTGTGCATGCCTACAGAAGCCCACAAGCTTCTTTATTCTGCCTCATGAGCAGTAAATTCATTCGGCAAACTCAGGGTCCCTGGTGGACAGGGAAGAAACCAGATGCTAGAAGTGTGGCAGAGAACACAGTAGGCACGGTCTCTGGGCCATCAGCATCCTGCTACTAAGTGGGTATAACATTCACCAAGGGAGGGAGTTAAGGCACTTTTGGACAGCCAAGACAAAGACAAAACCAATGAGAGAAAAAAATTAAAAAACACCAAAAAACCTTCCTACTAGTCATAAGTATCCTAGAAAGAGAAAAGATGCATTACAGAGAAGAATCAGAATTAAATCTGGGAGCAAAACAACTTCCCATATGAAAAAAATGAGGGCTGGCTACATGGGGGCTGGAGTCCAGACACTGGGGCTTATTTCTTTTCTTTCTGGCCCACATTGCAGGCTCCAGGCAGGAAAGTCAGGGCCAGCCTACACAGGGAAGACCAGAAATACCCAAGCCCCTTCCCCTAGGACCAAGGAACATCAATCAAGTACAGAAGAAACCAAGAACGGGACATTATTATGATAAAAACGTGTGTGTGTGTGTCTGTGTGTGTGTGTGTGTCTCCCATCACGAAGTAGATATACCATCAGTTACTTTCTTTTGATGTCAGAAGAGGCAGGAATGGCGGTCGGTTCCTCTAAGAAACAACAGAGCAGACTCGACAGAGGTGGCTCATCCCCAGCAGCGCCCGAGCTGAGGGGAAGCTGGTGTCTCAGGGAGCAAGATGACGCTTCTGTCACTTGCAGGGTGGGGGGCTGGTGCAGATCTCCACAGTACCCATCAACTCCAGACCCTCTAAGTCCACGGAGGAAGGAGGACCAAGGGCTACAGCAGGATGCGACAAGGGAAAAGAGCCACTCACTCATCTACTGATGACAGCGCGGTCAACAGGGACCCACTTACAGGATTACCGCACTTCCAGGTGAAAGAGCTTTATAGAAGAGCTGGATCTAGGCAGCCGCCCCCCCACCCCCCTCAACTGCCTCTGTTGGACATGTCTGGCAATGATGCCAGTGGAGCAGACAGATATGTCAAAAAATGTCCTCCGTCCACTGAACTGAAGCAGGTCTCAAAGAACAGAACCCAAACCCAAGGCCACTGCCACCAAGTCACTTAGGCTCAAACGGTTTCCAAGACTGTCTGTCCATAAGGGAGCAGACAGCCTCATCTTTCTCCCATGGAGCGGCTGGTGGGTTTGAACTGCCACCAAGAGTAAGGGCAAGTCTTTCTTGATGCTACAACCTTGAAGGTATTTGGGGGAACTTAATGTACCAGTGCGTGGAGAAGGACATCATGCTTCTTGGTAAATTAGAGGATCAGCATTAAAAAAAAGGAAGACCCTTAAGAAGATGAACACAGTTGAGGCACCAATGGGCTCAAACTTGACAAATATGAAGGATGGCGGAGGACCACGGTTTTGTTCTACTGTGCAGAGGGTCGATGAGTCTGAATTGATTCAATGGCACCTAACAACACTGAGTGCCCAAGGAATGCTGGTAACACGGTGGTTTAGGCACTGGGCTGCTAACTGCAAGACTGGTAGTTCAAATCCACCAGACGCTCCTCCAGATAAAGATGAAGCTATCTGCTCCCATAAAGATTCACAGTATTGGGAACCCTACATAGGGTCACTATGAGTTTAAATCAACTAGACAGCATTGGGTTTGGTTTTGGGTGGGTACTCCATGTTTAAGTCCTCCCTACTCTAAGAACAAGCAGCTCTGGTAACATAGTGGTTACAAATTGGGCTGCGAACCTCAGGGTCAGCAGTTTGAAACTACCAGCTGTTCCGTGGGAGAAAGATGAAGCTTTCTGCTCCCATAAAGGTTTACAGCCTTGGAAACCCTGTACAGGGTCGCTGTGAGTCGGAACCGACTCCACGGCACATCACAACAACCTCTAAGAACAACGTTCCACATTCTTTCTAAAAGCCTCAGGAGAGGCAGTGTGGCGACTCCTCTCTAGCCAGTTCACTCAAGAAAGCCCCCATCTTCAAGAGGGACAGAACCTGGTCCTCTGGGTAGGGGTGCGCTGGGGGTAGAGAAAGGGAGAACAGAACAAGGGGAAAACTCACTCTCCCCCACTTCCAGGGCACAGCAACGGCAGCTGTCCTGGGTGTTGTCTGCTTCCAGCCTTCACTTTCTGTCCTGGCATAAAGAACAGAGAAAAACAAGTGTGAGATGCAGAGCAATTGCAGAGGAAAGGCCATCAGGAGAAAAGGCAGACCCAGCAGGCAAAGACCAAAGCCATCCCACCTTGTTGGGGAGAAGCGAGGAGACAAAAGTCTAAGGCTCTGGGACCATCCAGAGAAGGGTTTGATCCCAGAGGTTGAACGGTTGCCTGGCCTTCCTCAGACTAAACTCTACAGCAGCATGGACACCACCTCTCAAAGTTGGGGTATAGTTGTTCCCCAGCAGACATCTGGCAGAAATTTTTCATTGCCAACATGAGAGGGTGGTTGCTACTGGCCTCAAGTGGGTAGACACCAGAGATGCTGTTGAACAATGCACAGGACAATCTTTAGCCCAAAGAATGATCTGGCCCGAAAAGTCAACTGTGCCACTGTTAGGGTATTCTCAGCTCCACTCATATACCTGTGATGTATACCCATCCTGTGTTTACAGGGAAGAGGAGAAGGCAGGAGAAACCAAATTGACTCTGACTCTTCCTCTCCTCTGAACGGCAGGTAACTCAGCCCTCATGATAACTGTCCCACGAGAAAACACAACAAAAAATGCTTCAAGTTCCTCTATCACAAACTCCCAGCAGCTGCATCCCTTCCCTACAGACAGAGCTGGAGAGGCAGAGCACAGAGAATTAAGGATGGAATCCTTTTCTGCCTTAGTTTACGGATCACTTTATTTAAAGGTCTTCTCACAGGGCCCCCTGTACTCCACCTCCCTCAGTATCTACCACCTCCTACCTCATCTACCCACTGTCTATCCCATTTCTTTTCTTTCTTGCACCTCAATATACGATTAATAGGGGCAATGGTTAAGTGCTCAGGTGCTTACCAGAAGGCCAATGGTTCAAACCCACTCAGCAGCTAATGAAAGGACCTGGCGATCTGCTCCTGTAAAGATTACAGCCTAGCAAATTCTATGGGG